TAAAATTTATTTCCAAGCAGTAAAATGTACGTTACAATCACTACAACCCATGAAAGCAAAATGATTTTTCTTTGGATTTGCTAGTCTTTTTTTTTCCGGAAACGATAGATTAATATATTTCTACTAAGAGAGAATTTATAATATATGAGCAAGGCCTCAAGTTTTCCTTTACAAAAGTGTACTAAGACACTGAGAATCGAAGAACTCGTCATCAAAATAGATATGTATTGCTTGCTTACTCAGTTTATAATTGAGTGTATTAGTACTACCATTACTAGACTGGCTAACAAATGAGCATGTTCTAAACATTAAGCTTAGATCATTGATGCATTCAAGATGGCCTGCTATACAGATGTTGCTTGGGGCTTGACAGTGTATCATCTTTAAAGTCTGGTTACATGATGTCTGAACCTGTATATGTTGCCAGCCGCGTTCCCTTAGCTTACAAAGTGCCAATTGTATAGCCACCAAATTGTCCAAAACAGCTGATCCAGTACTTCTTTCCCTGAGCATCCACGCTGCACCAATCTGGTGCATGCATTTGTTGCTGTGATGCCAATTCCCATATTATGTCCTTCAGTGTGTTGCCCTATATTTACATGAATGCTCAGCATGTTTTGGTCTGTTTCCCTCGTGTCCTCTTGGTCGTTTGCTATTTCTATTTCGGAGATGCTCATACGTTGCTGTACCTGTAGGCATTGATGATACTCCTCCCAGTCGTTCACTGCCTTTCGAACAACTTCCATTGGATGCCTATCTTTGCTTTCAAATTCTGCTTCATTCCTGGATTTCCAAATATGCCAAAGGATGTCCACTGTTAACGCAATGTGTTGCATTCCATCCTTTCGCCCATTTACTTCCATTAACCTACTCCACCACTTCCTGAAATCGCTGGTGTACTCATGAAGCTCATCCCACTGTAAAGGAGTCATATTCCATATCAACTTTGCTTTGCTACATTGGAAGAAAATGTGCTCCAGTGTCTCATTGGTTTCTCCACACTGCTTACAGATTAGTTCTCCCTTTCCTGTTCTCCAAAATATAGCTACTCTTACGGGTAACACTTGATGTAGACTCTTCCATAAAAACAACTTGTACTTGTGTCTTATTCTCATTTTCCATAGCTGTTTCCAGATTTTGTTGCTTCCCCCTGTCCAACTTGTTTCTCCCAATCTGCTCACTTGTGCATTAGGCTGCCTATCCTTCTTTGTGAATGCTTCATAAGCAGATCTGACCGTGTATTTTCCATTTACGCTATGACTCTAGAAGTAGCAATCAGGTCTACTTGTCACACTTATAGACATTTTGAGTATATTCCTAGCTTCATGTGGGCTAAAGGTCTGGAAGGTGAGTGGTGATTTCTATCTGAAGTTGGAGATCAGCTCGCTAACTTTTGTGATCTTGCATCCCAGGGGTTTTGGGGATTCTACATTGTCTTCCTTCCCATCCAGTAGCCAAGCATCTTCCCAAATGTTGGTGCTCTTCCCATTTCCAATTCTTTTCCTAACTCCACGCTGCACCTCATCTCTTGATCCCATTAGACTCTTCCATATCCATGATGCATTTCCTCTTACTTCACAAACCAGTGGTGATGTGTTGGGGTTGTACTTGGCTCTCAACACTTTACTAAGCAACAGGTTGGGGCACTTGAGAATCTTCCAAATCTGTTTGCCTAGCAAGGCTTTATTAAAGCCTTGGAGATCTTTAAAACCTAGTCCTCCATTGTTCTTTGCAGTGGACATCTTTTTTCATGAACACCAATGTATTTTCCTTCTCCCATTATCCTCTCCCCACCAGAATCTTGCCATCATGGCATTGATGTCTTTGCATAACTTTACTGGAAGCTTAAAGCATGACATTGGGTAAGTTAGCATTGCCATGGTTACTGCTTTCAGTAACACCTCCTTTCCTGCTTGACTTAACTGTTTATTGGACTAGTTGAAGATCGTTTTGTTGCTTTTTTCTCTAATGAACCCAAAAATTTGGTCCTTGGTTTTAGTGATGACCATTGGCAGCCCTAAATACTTCCCTTGCTTCACCACCATTATATGTTCCAAGCAACTACAGATTTCTCTTTGATCTTTTTGTTCCATATTTCTACTAAAGAACACGGAGGATTTTTCCATGTTGATCACCTGTCCTGAACCATGTTCATAATTCTTCAAAATTCTCCTCACTTCTTCAGCTTGCCTCTTGTCTGCTTTGCAAAAGATTAACGAGTCATCTGCGAAGAGTAGGTGAGTTATTGACGGGCCATTCCTACAGATCCTCATCCCAGTTAGCCTTTTGTTCCTTTGTGCTCGATCCAGCAAGTGTGAAAAGCCTTGTGAGACTAAGAGAAATAGGTAAGGTGACAAAGGGTCTCCTTGTCTAATTCTTCTTGAAGGTATGACGTATCCTTTAGGCTCTCCATTTATGTTGAAGAAAAAAGAAGCTGTTGTGATGCACTCCATTATCCAAGTGATCCATCTATCACAAAATCCCAGTTGTACCATGATGTCCTTTAGGTATCCCCACTCGACCCTATCGTAAGCTTTCGACATATCTAGCTTTAAGGCCATAAAACCATGAGATCCTTCTCTTTTGTTTTTGAGGTAATGCAAGTACTCATGAGAGATGATCACGTTATCCAAAATCTGCCTTCCAGGTACAAAGGCAGCCTGATTTGTGCTAATACATTTTTTCAAAACTTTTTTCAATCTATTTGCTAAAATTTTTGAAATGATTTTATACAACACATTACACAAACTTATAGGCCTGAACTGCTTAACCTCAGTGGGGTTCTCAACCTTGGGAATAAGGGATATGTTTGTGTGATTCGTAGCTTTCAACATATGGCTAGAATGAAAGAAGCTTTTAATGGCTTTTATGATGTCATTTTTAACAATGTGCCAAAATTTCTAAAAGAACAGAGGTGTCATGCCATCCGGACTAGGGGCTTTGGTTAGGTTCATGGAGAAAAGTGCAGCTTTAATATCTTTGTCCTTGACTGGTTGGGTTAGTTTAGAATTCATGCGGTCTGCTATTGTCTGTGATATTCCCTCTAAAGCCATATCAGTTTGAGTCACTCCCTTACTCTTGAATAGCTCCTTAAAATGATTCACAACTTCTTCTCCAATTTCCTCTTCCGATGTAGTCCATGTGGTGTCCTCCCTTTGTAGCCTCTGAATTTTGTTTCTGTGTCTCCTTCCTTTGACATTAGAGTGAAAAAAATGAGTATTTTTATCCCCCTCCTTAAGCCACTGCACTCTTGATTTTTGACTCCAGAAAAGTTCCTCTTCATCATAAGCCTCCTTTAATTGTCTTCTAAGATCCCTGTTCCTTACATTTTTGTCATCACAATCACGAACTTTGAGCTCTTCCAGTAACTTTTTTAGATTGTCAATCCGCTTCCTAGCATTTCCTTGGAAGTTATTTTTCCACTTTAGTAGCGTCAATCTGCAATTTGTTACTTTCTTATGCACTTTGTACATATTGGAGCCTGTTTGCTCCTCCTCCCACGCTTGACTGATCACTTGTTCCAACCCCTCTTTTTTCAACCAACTTTTATAAAAAATGAATCGCTTCTTTCTCTTTTTAGTTAGAGGGTTTGAATTTATAAGCACCATACTATGGTCTGATCCAACATTGTCTATATGTCTAACTAGAGTTCTATCAAACACTTGGCTCCAATCATTACTTCCTAAAGCTCTATCTAGCCTTTGTTTGATTTCACCTTCTTGAGTCCAGTGGTTACTCCATGTCCAGGGGTTACCTTCAAAACCAAGATCAATTAGTCCATTTTGTGCAATGAAGTTCCTAAAATCTTGAAAGGTTCCTTCCTCTCTCTTTCTACCACCCCATTTCTCCTTATTTGATGAATGTTATTAAAATCACCCATAATCATCCATCTAGGACCACATAGCACTTTCCTTCGTTGTACTACTTGCCACTGATTCCTTCTAACTTGATTATCCGTACTTGCATAAATGCCAATGAGCCACCAGTCCATATTCTTTTCTGTGTCCATAATGTGGATTTCCATAGTGAAAGCAGTTGTTTGGGACTCCAAAACCTTAACCTCATTGTTCCACATTACTGTCATACCACCTGACTTATTCATAAACTCTACTACTGCACACTCATCAAGCATCAGTTGTCTTCTCACTTTCATCATAAACTGTTGTCTGTTTTTGGTCTCACACAAGAAGACCACATTGGGGGAGAGGAGGTTGCAAGCCTCCCTCAACTGGGGAATTGTCAAGGGGCTCCCAGCACCTTGGAATATACAGAACTCTCTCCTGAGTGGGAGTCAAAATTTTCTCTCTCTTGGGAACTGTGCCAATCTTCCTTCTTGGAAGGGTACTGAAGCGTTTTGTGTCTGCAAACAGAGGAACAATCTCAGCACTAAAAACAAACACCCATCTTAGCATTAAAAGGCATTCCGACATTCTTAGGTTTACCATTAATCCACTATCGACAAGATCTCAGCTTTGGTTCTGATTGGTGGACAAACGGAAGCAGCAAAGTGCAGGCATTACGCTACTTTCCCTGTAGGAACTTTACTCCAAGCTACGACAGGTATCTTTAAGGTTGTTTTCCAAGGTTCTGCATGTACTCTTGAGCTGCAAATTTTTTCTGCCTGTTAGTCTTTTTTGTTTTATTTTACTGAGCTTTAATTTAAAAAAAAAAACAAAAAAAGGGGCTGAAAATAGGAAATATTATAAAAAAAACCTACTTTTTCCAAAAATTCTAGTCCTGCTGGTTCATCATAGCAAACATATGGTGCCTGGTTCTTTTCATGGGTTTTTGATACAAAAGAAGTAAGTTTGGCGTTTAGGGAAGGGTTTAGGGAGGGCTTCCGGTCTTATATACCTGAACTGCTTACCTTCAGTGAAGCACACTTCTGGTACATTTGTAGATAGGGGTCCCTCTGGGGTTAGTCATCCCCCACTTCTAGTTTCTTCGATCTGGACTGGTCTTGAACTGTGATATTCCCTCTTAAATCATCAGTAGGAGTCATGGCGGAGGAATTAGCTGAGATATTGGAAAGATTTGAACTTTCTAGCAAAGAAAGGGGAGAAACAGAGCTGGACTTGGGAGATGTAGGAACAAGTGTGAATGAGTGCAAGGAAAGTCTGGTTGGGAAGGTAATGGGTGAGAAAATCATAAATTTCGTGGGAGTGAAAAATTTTGTTACACTAGCTTGGGGCTACCCTAAAGGTCTTAGGGTGGTGGAGGTAGGTGTAAACACTTTCCAGTTCTTTATACCAAGTGAGAAGGATAGAGAAAGAATTTATAAGGGAGGTCCATGGATTATTGATAGCCAGATCTTAGTTATTAGACCATGGTTCGAAGGATTTGAAGAGGAAGGTGCTGATTTTAACCTCGCTCCATTATGGATTCAAGTGTGGAATCTCCCAGTGCACTGGATTTCTAAGGAGGTGGGAAAAAAGATAGCATTAGTTTTTCATGAAACAAAGGAAGTGATAATCCCTCAAGGAGGAGGAAAGGAAGGGAGACACATCAAATTACTTGTGCTGGCTGACATCTCCCAACCTCTTATGAGAGGTACCACGGTGAAGATGGAAGGAAAGGTGAAGTGGTTAAGCTTCAAATATGAGAGGGGACCTGATTTCTGTTATACATGTGGCAAAATAGGACATAGCTAAAGGAACAGCTCCGACACAGCAGTTTAGGTGGGAGAGGCCAGCAAGATAATCAATTTGGGCCATGGTTGAGAGCAGGATGGGGGAAATTGTTGCCTCAAAAGGAAAGGAGAGGGAGGCAGCCTGCTAACATTTCCCCTCACAAGCAAAGGTGGGGCTTTAAGGATGGCGAGCTGGTACCAAAAACAGGTGAAAGGGAGCTGATGGAGAGGATTCAGGCTAGGGAGGATGAGAATACACGTAAGGATAGTGGACCTGTTGGGGGGGATATACAAAGAGACGCCGTAGTGACAATTCAGGAACCAGGAAATATGGAGGACAGGGGTGAGGAGATGGATAACAGTAAGGGAAATGAAAAACAGACACAGGAAATGCTTGAAGGGAGTATATGTGGTGGTCAGTTAGACATAGTCCTGGACAAGGAGGTAGAGCTATCCTCTAAGGAACCTGAAGCTGTGGGCATGCAAGTGGAAGTTCAGACAGATGTGATGGAGACACCGAAACAAAGGAATGACTAAAAGAACAAGGAAACAATTAAAAGCTCCAGCGATAAAGAGAAAATCCACGCGACAGGTTCAGCTTACTAGGCTGAGTAAAGAGACTACGGGGAAGAGAAAATTCCACCTGGCTGATGAAGATATGGTGGATGTGGAAGTCACTGAAACAGTTGGCAAAAAGTGGAAAAAGGGGGATGATCCAGAAAGCTGCGTAAGCCAATATGAAGGGGCGGTGGCCAGCGTTACTTGGCCACCCATGAATGGATTTGCTGGTCATGTTTGGACATCTTTCCACTTGGTGCTATTACAGTTTTTAATTTTTATCATTCTTATCTGGAGCTTTCTAATTGTGGAGTGATTGTAGTTTACATTCTTATTGCGTGATTTGGAAATTGTGCAATTGGAAAAGCTATTGATGTGTCAATTTGGTCGACTTGAGTATGTAGTGTCCTCTCGTATGCTGTTTTAAGTAATTTTTAGCTAATACAAATGGTTAAATGCTGATTGACCTTCACAGTTGATACTTAGTATTTGGTTATGTTATCAAGCAATTCAGTGCTTCTTAACAAGGTCCAGCCAAGTTTCAGCTTAGGCCAATGATGGCAGAAACGTTCCCCTGAACATGAAATTTTGAATTGTTAGGATAGGAATTGGCTTTTGAGTCTTTATCCACTACAAATCCGCTTATCCACAATTTGCAATTGATAGGAGTTGGTTAACCATTATCAATTATTAAAATGCAACTTCTAAAGAAATAAGAGTTGGTGAAATATTCAATGGATGTGTTGTAATTTACAATTACATGTTCACTGTTGAGTACTTGTGCATTTTCCCATCAATCCTACCTCTCTTGTTAAAGGAAAACTCACTTCAAGAACCCATCACTTTTTAATCAATTAACATGGTTCTTTAATCAATTAACGAATCTATAATGTAAATATAAAAGCAAACAAAAATATTAAAAAATGATTATTCACTCAAAATCTGTAATAAACTAAAATAATTAACTAAAAACAAGCCCTAACTAATATAATAATTGCAATGAGATAAATTTTCGAATAATACCAAACTAGATATTGAAACAACCAAATAGTAGTACCAAAGTACTTATCAAGACATGTTGTTCTCATTGATTTTAGGTATTTCTGCTGGAGTTTTCTCGAAGAAGACCGCGTTTGATCAAGGTTTTTATGCTTAATTCTTGCTCAATGCGAATGGTAGGCATAGGATCCGAATCAGATTCAAGCTTAGGGTTTTGCTCCTTTAAAACACCTCGAATAACCCACTTTCTTTCTTTTTCTTAAAAATAAAAAATAAAAAGCACTGGAAAAATAGCCAATATAATGCCCTATTTAGATTGATCTCCATGCAGACACAGCTTTCCTGGTCTCTCTCTCTCAAAAATATACACAAGAAAGAAATACCCGCACGTACATTGCACAATTGGATATACATCCTTCCTTTTGGATGCTTTGATGGCTTAAAGAGGTACTAATGGAGGAAAAAGTATCAAAGGCTGGACAATGCCATCAAGATGAAAAGATAGCTGGAGATTGCTCATCTAGGGAGCAAAAGAAGCCATAAAGAGCGTGAATTCTGATTAAAAGTGAATTCAAGGCTAGTTGTAAAGTTTCATGAAGCATATTGGTGCAATAACACGTTTAGCAGGCAGCAAAAGATTTCACCATACTAGGAATAGAGCAAAAAAATTTTTAAAAAAAAATTTTCCAATAGGAGAAGGGTGGAATTTAAGAAGCGGTTCTGAGAAAAAGAGCAGGAAAATGTCAACCAATTACTTGAACACAAATTTTGCCAAATCTTTATCACAATTAATTTTAGCATGAAAGGTCATACTTAATTAACGTAGATTATATTTGATGAGATCATTTTATTTATTTATAACTGTTGTCCATCAAGAAGTCTAATAGATAAGTATTTTCTACATTTTAGTGGTTTTAAATTGTATAAATACTTAATTTTTTTTTTTGCACTGTCATTCATGGTTATCTAAGGGAAAGAAGAAAAACGCCACGCAAAAATAGTGACAAGGAGTAATATTCCCTCCTGATAGATGAAACAATTGAGACAGTTTAATTCAAAAATTTCATCAATTGGATATAAGGGTGTCAAGCAATTCACAAGACTTGAATCCAAATGCAAGGAGAAAAGAAAAATTCTTTACATCCATGGTTAAGGGCTTTTGCACACCCAATCTAATCCCATACGTGAAGTAGGAGACAAGAACATAAAGCAAAACATCTACTAATGATAATAGTCATCTATAAAACAACTGATCACTGTATTGATACTAAGAAATTAACGTCTCATTCTTGTTTGCTTTCGAATTTGCATAAGTGATGATAAAGAATAATCAGAATCAACAAAAATTACTTTTTGTTAGAGTATGAATTTTAAATTTATTATTATTATTAAAAATTTATAAATCTAAATATAAAAACAAACTAGAATAAAAAAATGGTTATTCAAAATCAAAATTTATAATCAACTGAGATAATCAATAGAGAAACAGCCCCAACTTAATATAAGAATCACAATAAGATAATTCTCACATAATAGTACCAAACTAGATACCAAAACAACTAATAGTAGTACCAAAGCACTTGGGGTTTTCTCGAGGAAAACGGCGCTCGATCGAAGTTTTCATGCTTAATTCTTGCTCCACGCGAATGGTCGGCACAGAATCTGAAGAATCATGCTCAGGATCAGGTTGGCCTTCTCTGAAACACCCCAAACAACCCACTGTTTTTCTGGTCGTTTTCTGGCCATCTTGTGTCTTTTGTTGGCCACCAGTTGTACTCTCATTAGAGTCCTTTGGAAAATCCTTCTTTCCAGACATGTTACCCATTGTTTTGCACCAAATCAACGGGAAAGCAAAAGGTGCGGCTCAGTGTTCATTGGGGCTTATTTAAAGAGTGAAAGTTAGGGTATTCCTTCATCAATAGTACCACATGTTATGGAAATAGTACTGTTATGGAAAAATTATCAAGGAAAAGGAAAGAAAAAAGAAGGAATTTTGGGTAATAATGATGGCAATTGGCACTGATTAGTACATTTAGATTTATTGGTTTCCATTGGAGTACACTACACATTTATTGTTTCTGCCATTTTGGGTGCTTTCTTGATTTAACTTCATATTTCCAAAAACAACTGTGTTGTGTTTGTCATCTCTTCACTAGCTCATCTTTCTCATCTTTTTTCTGCTTTTTATTTAGGTGCATGATGATGAGAAATATTTTTGGGGTAACAAAAACACTTTATATACTTTTTAAACTACCCTTGATGATGAGGGGGCTTTTGATATACATAAAAATCTATTTGTCTTTGTAACTACCCACTATCAATATGATTTCTCACCAAGTAATATATATATTTTTCATATTCTATTTTTCAACTTATTTAGTAAATCTTAATTTTAATTAGAAATTAGCAAATATGGTTATGAATAACTACCAAATAACTACTTTTTATAAATTTTTTACTTATGCATTGTAAAGATATAAAACCAATTTTCTTGAAAATTATTTTAATAAATATACTCAAAATATTTTACAAATATTTTTTTCTATTAGTTGCACACACATTACCGCGTGCCTTGAATACTAGTACATTTTACAACATAAAATGTTAATAATTTATATGTAAGTTTATATTAATTCTTAATTATAAAATATATATTATATATAATTATGTATTCAATTATGGGTTGGGACCAAACCCGATATGAACCCGAAACTCACATAATAGTGTAAGCTGAGTTTGAGGTTTTTTAATATGAGCTTGAATCTCAAAAACCTAAAACCCAAAAATTCAAATAATTTGTGAGCAGAGTTTGGTCTTGCTAAAGTCTGACTCTAAAAGCTCGATTGACACCACAAGTTGTGGATTGCCTTTACCATTTGGATGAACTGCAAGAAGATCTTGTACTTGATGTTCTAAGTTACCTGTCTGTGCTTAATCTATTCACCAGAGCATGCTGGTAGAAAATATACCCTATTTTCTGTGATGAGGAGCAGTCTAGCCAGTTGCATTCACCAATGGGTTATTTTGGATTTTAAGAGAACGAATTTGGGACAATGAATTACTACCTTCTCTGCACAGTTGGAAAAATAGACTTCTGCAAACTGGCTACATCAATTATAAGCCTCTTCTTTTAGGTATGAAGCCATTAGCAAAACAAAGATTATGAACATTCTTTTAGGCATAGAACCATTAGCAAACCATTTGAAAACAAAGAGTATGAAGTTTAACAAATTTTCAAAGTTAGATTTTCTTGAGAGGCCTATAGTGCCATCATAACACATGTTCAGAGGATTGCTTTATCTTCACCTTAATGAACCATTGAGGTGCAATTGATAACAATCCCGATCTCCTATTCTGATCATACTATACAAATTACAGATATTTGACAGTTATATATGTACGCTTCCCAAAATCAAAAGAAACTCGATAATCTATTTGCATTTCCCGCAAGGAAGTTCTACAAGAAAAAAGTGTACAAGTTTAATCAAAAGAGTTGAAGCCAGTAGACTACTTAGACATGGTGTCCAACTAAAGATAAGACAAGCATAACTGATGAGGAGCCAATAAGACCAAATTTGAACTGCCTAGTTAGTTGGTTTAATCCTGCAACTTTGGACGGGAAAATGACTGAAGCAATTGAAAACGACCGCTTGCATTGTCTTCACATCATCATCAGCTTTGGCCTCAGAGGGGGCATCAAGTTGCTTGGCTTTAAAGGTGATATAAAACAGACGATTGAGTGTCCAAACGACATTCTCAACATCCACAAGTTCATACTGTTTGCCCTAATCCAACAACAAGGCAAGGCAGTCAATCAAAGATGCTTTAACTAATTCACCCAAAGTGTATAAGAAGATCCCAAAAAATCAACAGAATAACTCGGCCGTTGGAACCAAATCAAATGGGGAAAAAAATGTTAAATCACACACCCGATCATCCTTGAAGGTCTTCACCGCCTCACGTGCCATTTTCTTCACTAAGTCGTAGCATCCCTCATCCTCCCTGAATTCTGGGCAAGGCACGTACATAGCAAAGGAGCCTCCAGGATACGCATCCTCATCAACATCAAAACCCTGAAAAATTGTTTACTACGTGTTCTGTTTAATTAATCAACAACATTTTGAAAAAATATATATATACAAATATCCGCTGTTGCATATGAATTTATTATGAATAGCAGCGATCGAACAAATACTAGACTAAAGCAAAATCAAATCCACCGAATAATATATATATAAAAGGACTTTCCAACAAATAATGATGTAGCTACGTTACCCCGCTCTCCTTGATCTGACTGCTGTATTTATGCCACATCTTAGCGGCCTCTTCTTCAGTTCTTCCGAGGAGCCAGGATTCCTCCTCTTCCGAGTCCGGACTCATGATGTCGTCTGTTGATGGGGGCTCACGAAAGAGACCATCTTCTTTCTCGGATTCGGATTGTTTTTGTCTTTTGGTGGATGGTTCTCCGCCGGCGCCATACTTGATGCGCCAATACAGATCATCAAAGTCGTCGGTTGGAGGCGGGGCAGGTTGAGTATCGCTTTTTACGGACGAACTAGGGTTCATGATTATTTTTTTTGGGTATTTTTGAAGCAGCTTTGGATTGTGTTTTCTCCATGCCCGCTGGACGTTTATTAATTATTATACTCCTAGTCCCTTAGACGTCCAGCGGGGGTAGCAAACCGTGGACTCACCAGGAGCTCCATCGATCAAAGTTCGATTACTCGATTATAGTTGGTTATCGAATTGAACTCGAGCCTTTAGGTATAAGGTTATCAAACATTTCGAGTTTTGTGTGTGTATGTATATATATTATTTATGATTATTAAATTATTGAAAAAGTTTATATTTTTAGAAGAAATTATATGTTTTACCATTTAAACTTGAGTGTGAATTCGATCTTAAACTCGAACTCAAATTCTCTATATTTACACAATTCGAGCTCAAGTTTTGGAGTTAAAGATTCTTTGAGCTCGAACTCAGATAATACAATTCGAGCTTGACTTGCCATCCCTTCTCTAGCCTCCAGCTCCCATATTCTATTTTCTAGATTTTTGAATTTGTAATTCAAGTTGTAGTATATGTTTTTGGTTTAATTACTATATCAATGTTTTTAGTCGGCGCGGATAAAAGATCAACGGAAGAAAGGAACAACTCTGGGATTTGACATAGTACTTTTTGGGCATTGATTGTAGAAATTCGACTAGAGTTAAACTAATCTTTGATAGGTTAATCAATAATTAGTTAAAATTTTCTACTTGTCTTGATACCTTCTATCATATAACAATTATTTATGTTGCCCGAAAAGAAAAATATTCTAAACCTAGTGTATCATGATTAAAAGGTCAGTCTATTACATAAAAAAGCAAAAAAAAAAAAAAAAAAAAAAAAGAAGAGAAAAAGTAAAGGTCAGTCTCTTAAAATTAGAAGTTCAAATTTGGAATCATAAAATAAAACTGCAAACACTACCATTTACCAAGACTTATCATACTTCTGAGTAGTGCTCAAATGCAGATAAGTCATAATTGACCAAATATATACACATAAGTATAGACATAATCCGAGTATGTATATAAACATGTATTCACATAATTATATATATATATATATATATATATGTGCGCGCGCGCGTGCGCGTATGTATGTATTACTGAACTGGAACTACAAAATAATAATAATGGTGTTACGCTTATTAAAAGGAACAGGAAATTGGTGTAACATTTTAGCATCGGAAACTTAGAACTAAGATGCTTAAAATGAACAAATAAATAAATTAATAAGCTTAGAGCTAAGTTCTTCACACGAGCTGCAAGTTACAGCTATACAAGGGACTAGGATGATACAGGCTGCAAAGGTGTAGGAAGTCCATTTTCTGGGGTAGGCATTATTATAGCACCAAGATCCTTTTATTGGGGAACAAAATCTCACATTTGTGCTTTTTGACCACATTGTGGAAGAATGCTAATACAGCACCAAATGGAACGTATGTAAATGAAGCTAAGCCATTTGCCTTCTCCTCTAGAATCATACCCTGAAGGATCAAATTTCTTAAACATGGTGCTTTAGTCAATTTCTTATCACAAAGTGTCAAAATACTCAATGGTGTATCCACCATTTCACTATAAGATTCTAGCTAGTTATAGTCTACTGTTATGTCCCTTGAATGCGGAGGTTCTAAATCTTGATGAGTCTTCTTTTCCTACTCCATTCTTGCCAAAATTTTAGGATGTTTAGTTCTCCAGTTTAAAAGAGTAAAGAAACCATACATTCTTTTCTGTTATATTAGTCAATTGCAGATCGAATAGTTAGTTACCTTCTAATCAATTCCATCCATTCTCCAACTTAAGAAGTTAGAGAAAGTATGTAAACTTTTCCTTTTTAAGTTTGTCAATTACTGATCAATTACCTTCCAATTAGTTCTATTATTCTTGTAATCAATATCAAATTCAATGCACAAAATATTTTTCTTCTCCCTACTCACTACCCTTGAAGTAAGCAAAATTCTGAACAGTTCCAAAAGGTCGAGGAGCCAGTTACGGTACACAACCCTCCATGGTTTTTTCAGTCTTCCTCTATCATTACTCGTGCCCAATACTTTTGAAATTTTTTTTATTACACTTAAATATTGATTACCCCACTTGAAAAACTTAAAAACCTTTTATACTTTTGCCCCTTTTTCCCCCTTAGATTCACTAGTTGGCACCTAGAACTTCACGGTCTAGTCATTCCTTTGTGTCTTGGCTAAATTACTAATAACCTCCTTGTGGTTTCGTGTATTACCAGATGACCTCCTTAATTTTACAAATTATTTAGCCAATCCCCCAATTGTTTCATATGAAGCGAAAATGTGATAGAAACTAGCCTCCATACCTTCATGAGTTGAAATTCCAATATTATCTATACTTAAGTACAACATAGGATAATGTCTAACCACTTTGCCTAAAATCAGGGAACATTATTTCAATATATTCAAAAGTATAAAAGGTTGAGTGGATATTTATTCAAATTATAGGAGAGTAAATAGGTATTATAGTTTTATTAAATGTAGGGATGGCAATGGGGGCGGGTGCCCGCGGGCACCCGCCCCGCGGGGGGCTCTTGGGGCGGGGGTTGGGGCGGGGGGTGGGGCGGGGGCGGGGGGGAATTTTTTCCCCCCGCTTAGAAACGGGGCGGGGGGCGGGGGAGTATACCCCCGCCCCATCCCCCGCCCCGCCACCCGCAAAAAAAAAAAAGAAAAAAAAAATATATATATATATATATATATATATATATATATATATAGCCAAGCAAAGCAGTAGTTGAGCAGAAAAGAATTGATTACCCACAACCTTATCAATCTGCTTGGTATATGATACATAGCTACTTGTGCCTAATACACTATGATCTTTTGTTACAGGATTGTACGATCATTACCGCATTGTAAATGTTCTAGGTGGGTTCTAGGTTCTTTTACTACAGTCCAGTAATCTTAAATTGCATCATCCTTTCAAAATTAGTGAGTTAAAGCAGGACCAAAACCACATACTTGCAAAGCATATTCATCAATTGATTCGCCTCTGATTGGCTTCTCACTCGAGGGCCAGCCTCATATTTCCAGGAACTTTGGAGTTTGCTATGAGCTCTTAAAGCAGCTTCAAAACTAGGAATTCGCACTGGATACTATCATGAAAATATTTGATCAAAGTCACAAATTTGATTCTTGGACAAAATGTTGTTAGCTTCAACACGAACTCTGGGATGCAAAATCCTATGAGCAGAACTACCATTTCCGATTGGAAAAGCTCCTTGACCCAAAATTCTCAATTTATTCATGTGTTTGGGGTAATGATCATGAAGATTTGGGAATCTACGTTATTCTCAATATAAAATTTTATTAACCCCGCGGGGGCACCCGCGGGGGAAGCGGGGCAAGGCGGGGCGGGGCGGGGGGAGCGGGAGGCGGGGGACGGGGCGGGGGACGGGGGGAACTAATAGGCAACGGGGCGGGGGGCGGGGGAGGGGTCCCCCGCCCCAACCCCGCCCCGTTGCCATCCCTAATTAAATGCATTTTTGAAACGTGTGTAGGCCAATTGTAGTAATTACTTTGCGTCCATTTTCCCTTTTACACAAAACCACAGGGAGCTTGTGGACATTTTAAATTGTTGGGGGTTCATGTGGCAATATGCAAAACATAGGGGGATTAGTATTAATTTAGCAAAAATAATTCAAAATAGTCCTTACATTTCACCTAATGAATTTTTTCGTTATTCACTTTTAAAATATTAACTTTATATGCCTTACAAATTAAATTTGACAAAATTTGGTTACAATCTAAGTTTTCGACCATCTTTTATCCCGTGATCACTATGTGACCCACATGTAGTCATCTGTTATTCATAATTCCGAATCATAAATAAAACTGCAAAGACTACCATTTACCGAGACTTATCATACTTCTAAGTAGTGCTCAAATACAGATAAGTCATAAATGACCATATACACACATAAGTATAGACATATTCCGAGTATATGAACATGTAATTACATTATATATATGTATGTATATATATCTGCACGTGCGCGTATATATGTATTAATGAACCAGAACTACAAAATAATAATAATGTTGTTACCTTTCTTAAAAGGCACAGGAAATTGGTGTTGCATTTTAGCATCGGAAACTTAGAACTAAGATGCTTAAAATGAACCAATAAATAAATTAATAAGCTTAGTGCTAAGTTTTTAACACGAGCAGAAAATTACAGCTATACAAGGAACTTGGAACTAAGATGATGCAGGCTGCAAAGGTATAGGAAGTCCATTTTCTCGGGTAGGCATCATATCACCAACATCCTTTTGTTGGGGAGCAAAACCTCACATTTGTGCTTTTTGACCACAATGAGCACAAATGTGGAAGAATGCTAATAAAGCACCAGACGGAACGTATGTAAATGAAGCTAAGCCATTTACGTTCTCCTCTAGAATCATACCCTGAGGGTCTGTTTGGTTCACGGACTGGATGAGATAGGATGACTCATCCTGTATTATTAATCTTGGGTTGAGTCATCTTCAGATAAATAATCCAAGTTATCTAGTGTTTGGTTGATTCTCGGTTGGATAGAATATGTTGGAAAATAATCCTATCCTGTGTTTGGTTGGAGATTGGATGAGGAAGGATTATTATTTTAATGACCAAAGCATCCCTTAATTTGTAGATTCTTTTTAATAAAATAATTTAGTATTCTATAAAATATTAATAATATAATATAACAAATAATTTAATATTTATAAATTTTATTAAAATAGAGCAGTTTAAAACTTTATAATTATAAAGTAAATCAAGGGTTTTGACATAAAAATTCGCATTCATTCAAACTTAGCCCATTTGGGCCCTTAAAAATAGATTTTGACCAAGCTTTTGAACCTAAATTTGAAATTCAATTAAATAACGGGCCAAGTTTTGGCTAAATTAAGGTTAAATCAATTAAAACCTAACTCATTTAAAAGCTTTCAGTGAGCCGAACTCAGGCTAATATAGAAGATTTTTCTTTGGATCGAGTTTGAGTTTACTGAAGTCCTCGTTCACAAAGTCCAATTGATAAGATTATATATTTATATAAATTTCGTTTAGAAAATAAGGTTAGTAAGGGTAATTTAGTCCAAGGGCAATATAATCCTTCTATTATGATGTTAGTATGGCAAATTAGCCAAAAATTTTAAATCAATTACTAGGGGCAAGTCGAAATTTTTAAAATAAT